CATCGGTAGACGGAGTGGGAACTTGTAACAAGGCAGGTGCTGGAGATCGTGCGCGCTTGTTGGAGTGGCGGAAGCGAAAGCCTCGGGCAAAAGGAGACTTCATTGGCAGATCACTGCGAGGGAGTTGGGTGGTCGAAATCGTTAGAGCGGGTGGTGGTTCGCGCTGGATGGCAGGGCCGAGTCTGCGTTCCGAAGACGATTTGTCAGGGGGTGAGCCAGCTACCATTCCCGCTGGTGGGGTTGAGGGAACAGGTCGCTTGGTGCGCCTAAAGCGCGAAGATAGATGATCCATTGTTCTAGTTGTTGTTGGGGAGATTGAATATTCGAACTGATGGGGGAAACAGAGAATGTTAGAAGAATATCGAAAGTGTTAGAAGTTGGAGGATGGGGAGATCAAAGGTTGAAAGGTTGAAGAGGTGAAAGGTCAAATTTGAGGAGGAGGGCAGAGGACGGAGGGAGGAGGGATGCGACCCGGGCAACGTACCTTGACTTTGCGGTGCCTGCCTATTAGGAGTGGGATGGAATAAAGATGTGTCGTGGTCGTAAAGTTACGAGGCGACAACAATGGTGTAGTTAAGAGAGAAGAAGGGGGGCGCAGCTGGCCACGAGTTTCAATTAATCGGCACGTGGTGTAGTCGGCGGGCAGTCCCTTAAGATATGGATTGAGGCGATGAAAGGCGAGGCAAGGCAAAGCCTGCGTCAGAATATTGGACTGGATTGAGACTGGGATTGGGAGTGGGAATGGATGGGATTAGATGGTAGAAGACAGGCAGTGTAGACCAGTTCGATCTACACCGCTGACTATGAAGTAACTAACTAAGGCGAAGAGTAGAAGTTAGTTATGTTGTTGGGTAAATGGGATGTACGAATAAAAAAAAGTGTTGTGAAGTGGAAGTGGATTTAGATATAGATTTGAATGTTGTAGCTTCTAGTGTTAAAAAAAAATGACGAATGCCGAATGCTATTAACCTGGATTTCGGAGGCGGCGAAAGGCAGGGGAGGCTGGAATAATTAAATCAGAATGTGGGTCTCTATTGGACATTGAACACTGTACATTGAACGCATCCTACTTGCAGCTACCAGTCTCAGCTAGCACCGTAGTACTGTGTACATGATGAATGACCTGGAAGTCACGAACTCACAGCCTATTCACAGGTACCACCTGCGCCTGCACCTGCACCTGATAAATGTAATTGTCCACATTACACGTGGTACGTACCTGGTAGGTCCTTGCTACGTCGCATTGAATTGGCATACCAATTAGGGCTGCTAGGGAAAGATGATCATCTTGTACGGATACGTACGTACTTTTTTAGGTACCTTTTTGTATGTACTAAGTTTTGATAATAAATGGATACATAATGAAAGAAGAAGAAGAAACGGGTAACGGATCAGTTTCAAGGGCTGCTATATTTAGTCGTAATCTAATCAGCCTACCGGCCTGATCTCTGATAAAATATGGATTTCTTGCGATGGTGCTTTAGTAGGGTCACAGGTTACGATGTAATAAGGCTGCGATGCTAGAGGAGAGAGAATGATCGTAGCTGAGAATTACGTTATGGGAGGGATCCCACACAATCTCAGATACCCCGCACCGTGTGAAATGGCACTTGTACCTGAGCCGTAGCTGCTGAGGTGTTTGACATCTGTCATCCCTCCAGGATGCTATTTGTTCTGCAGGTGCTAACCCTAAGCATTAGGTACCGGGATTCTATTTGCCCAGAAGCCCTAGGGCTGCTTCCAACTGATGTGTTTGACAAGCGACCCGGGAACTGCTGCAGGCGCTAAGGGTTGGCCCAAGTTAGTGGTTCCCCGATCTGCCGTTAACCGCTGCCTGACGCTAAATAAATTCACCTTTAGGTCTACGTAATAATATGGGTTCTAATACTTCACTTTTAAGATGTGGATACTTGCCTTAGTTAAATATTTACTCCCAGATAAGGTTCGTATCTAAAGATCTAGGTACCTAGGTAATAAAGATCTTATTCAACTTTATTAATCACATATTCATTTCTATTGCTTCGCAGCTTCGTTTGTCAAAACATAAAAATTAAGTGTATTCATGTATCCGTTTGTTATAGCAAACGACAAACATCGTTTCCAAATCATGAACACTTTTGCAACTTTTATCACAAAAAATATGGATTACTAACATATATATATTAGGTATCATAGCTTTTATATTTCTATTCTCCAGGTACTTTGGATACTTCAAATATTTGCTGAACAGTCCCGGTTGCCTCATATTTTGAGATCACATGTAATTATATCTGATTTTTATTTGGTTCGATTTGTTTGACCAGTGTGTTGGTCACATTTGACCTTAGGTCAAAATGAAGGACAAAATTTCCAACACGAATTAATACATAAAATATATCGAATCATATTACCCAATGGCTACTTGTAGTTGGGTAGATTATATCAACTTCAGCAATAACACAAACTGAGCCTCAGTCAAGGCTTAATTCCAACCGCCGTGAGGGCATCGTGTGACAGCCACAATGTCCCTTTTTCCATTTAGACGCCTATGCATTATGAATCATAAAGTGGACGTAGAAAGAAAAGAGCAGATTAAATCTCATAAATACAAGCAATGGAACTTGTAGAAATCCCCTCGTGCCTATCCCTTAGCCACTTAACTAGACTGACTATTTGAACACTCTATTCAATCTGGGATCAAGGAAATCTATCCCAAACCATACCTCCACATCATCAAAATCAACATGTCTTCCAGAAATGACGACTCTGGCAATGCTCTTGAAATCGCCATACAGTGGCTAGAGCATCGCTCCGTTACACCAGCTGGCCAAAAGAAACAGGAATCGACCAAGTCAAAATCGGGACCTACCTCTAGTTCTAATGGTCGGTTCGGCAGCGGCTCTGGGTCTCATTCTATTACTACGAGGCCTCCTAACGCTCGAAAACTACCGCTCACTCGTCCCTGACGGGCACTTATACGGTCTGCCGATTGTATCTCTCCGAGTTTCTCCTATCACAAACAGAAAAAAAACACAAGAGCCTAATACGAATGGAGGACATGGGATATTCGAGTTGGGAACTTGAGGATTGAGCACAATGGGTTATTGCACGGCTTCACTAGCAGAGTGTAATTGATTATATATGTTTTGTTTGATAAGTACCTATCTGATGTACATGAGTTGACTGTGACCATAATGTTTATCATTTTCATCCAATGTGTTGTACCGTACGATGGCTTGTTACGTTCACTAGCATATTCTAGAGTTAGAGGATAGTAAGGGTAGCCCCTTATAAAGGTGGCTTAAATAAAGAAAGGATAGCATTGTATTGAAATAGTCTGCGTACCTGTTTAAATAGACCAGGGCACTCCAATCGCTTCTCTCAATCTATATTGGCGGTTAAGACTGTTAATTTCAGAGCGGACGGCCCCAGCCCAATCGAGGGGATGCAAGAGCCTCTCGAGGAGGAGATTTAGTGAAACAATTTGTCCACTGAATCTCAACGACTCTCTCGGCTCCATTATGGAGACGCGGACTGTCGAGGATGACCGAGGATCCTGCTCATCAGCGGGCTCTTCCCAAGGAAACATTGCATCAAGCTGATCTTGAAGCACAGCTGGGATTCTCTCCCAGAATGGCCATCCACTTTTACCATATATCGAGTCGTCCTGGTGTACCTTCAATTCCATCCACGCCTCTTCTATAGGACTATCCGTTTCGTGCATCCATGCTTGCAGAGAGATGCAATCTATCCTAACACCTCTTCTCGAGCTATAGCGAGACGGAAGCGATTGGTTATTGGGTGGTTCGTATTCGACTTCCTCGGGGTAGGCAAAACGCAGTGCCCACCAGATTCTAGCAGCCACAACAATCAAGAACTGTAGCTGTTCCAGAAGCCAGCAGGTGCTACACCAGGTTCTCTTCGAAGATGGAGATCGCAAGTCGGCTCCAGGATGATAATACCCACGTGCAAATGAGTGTCCGCAGTCGGGATAATGGAGACTACTGCGGCAGTAGGGGCAACGCTGCTGCTGACACTTTTTGATATCAATCCAGGGTATGATACATCCACTGTGGAACGCATGAGCACATGGTAAGATGACTGGGGCACTAGTATCTTTGTTGTCCGGGCATATAGAGCAAGTGAAGAAAGGCGAGTCTTGCAAGTCGTCGGATGATTGTAGAGTGCCTTTGAAGTCTAGCAACATTTTAATGAGATAAAGATCTGTATAATGTATAACAGATGTATAACAAATGTAGCGATTATGAGAATACATATTTTTAGCATGTAAGGTACAAGAGGTAAAGTGATGTATTTATATTAATGCGTGTCCTTGCATGATGAGTGAGATTCACACAGCTTTATGTCGACGGCGTAACTAAAATCCCTAGGTAAAAAAACACCAATAGTTGAAAATAGCCCTCGGGCTTGAAAACATATGACCATTAGAATAATATCGGCATTTTGGTAACAGAGAGCGTCTATGCTCACAGACCTTAGCTACCGTGGCATTTATCATCTACTCATGAGATATTAAAGGGCGGACTTTAGGAGATAAGTACCTACTAGTCAGTTAACCTAGCCACTCTCGCTCAGACATAATAATATCGGTATGATTCATATACTGGAGTTTTTGGTAGCATTTCCATTCCCAAGTAACCTTGAAGGCATATCTACCCCTTTTATGATACTGGGGAGTGAGTGGCTTGAATATTTGTTAGAGTTCTATGTTGACTTTGATTTTATGCTTAATGCTTAATTACTCAGCACCTTTGTTTTCCATAGGTGTTCCGGGGTTTATCTGTCTAGACTAATTAAACATTAAACTTAGAATAGACCTCAATCACGTATGAAATCTTTTTAGAAACTTAAGGTGAGCTCAGATGAATTAGGTCAGTAAAAAAATTACTCTTCATATATAAGGCGAGCTGTGACCACCTCAGTTGGTAACCTTCTATGTAAGAAAAGATCAAGAATGTATGAAAATAGAAATACTTATCTAAATGACAAAAAGGAAACGATGGTCCCAGAGAGGCTTGAACTCTCGGCCTTCGCATTTACTTAATATTTCAAGGTATTGATCGAAGATATTAGTACGACGCTCTAACCAACTGAGCTATGGGACCATATGTAGAAATAGGGGAAATAGAGTTGGCGACTCATTCATCCTACCAATTCAGATGGTTTCTGAGTGGCATGAACATTACTTATCTAATCTTTGTTATGTGTCCCGACCTTTAACCGATATTCATTTAAAGGTGAATATGGAGTAGGTACAGATCTGTAATCTGTATTGATAAATGCATAATGAAATCGCATGTGGTACCTAACATGGGTATCCAGCTTATCGGATCACGGCTAAATTTAGGTTCCGACACGCATTGTTAGCATGGAGACACTTGGTACATTCAATGGCCCACTGACGTTATTGTAACTTGTAACTTCTTGAAGCTTTCGCAACAAGAATTTAATTTAATACAATAAATAATTCTCACCTTTTTACCTTTTCACCATTCTCACATTCCCGCATTCTCACGTCTATCAACGATAGATCATGTATGAAGACTCCTGGTACAATTTCGTACCAGATCATACTCACAGGAGAAATCCTTCTGTACCACAGACTCCAGGACATAGAAGAAGAGAATCTCTCCTTCAACAACCCAATGTTAGTCCTTCTATTCTGCTCCAATGCTCCCGACGCGGTGATTATTTGGAAGTACTAATAACCATTTCAGGGAAGCAAGCAGGTTGATGCTGTCGAACAGCTAGAAGAATTACTTGAAGAACCCGAGACAACAATTGGACCCCCCGAAGCAACGTTGAGTCGAAGGGCAAAGTCATACTCTGACTTTTATCATGTCGTGCGTGCGCAGCTCTCCAAAGATGCTGCCACAGCAAAAAAGAAGCGGAGAAAACATAAGGAGAGAAACCTAGATGCGCTGATGGTTGAAAAGATTGAAAAGGTTGAACAGAATCACGGGCTACCGCGGTTAGATTCTCTAGATGGTGAATTAATCGAAGCTAGCCAACAGGAATACTTGTATGGTCCCTCGATACTGGAACGAGCGATAATACCGTCGCTGACAGGGATACAGACTATACCGAGATCAACTAGGAATGACCGAACGTCATCTAGACACTCTTATAAGCAACACCAATGACGCTCTAGACCTTCTTACCTCATTGACCGATTCTTTTCGCGCTGTAGAGTCACAAACATCATCTTTCCAGGCTCAATGCGACGACCTACTTGTGGAAGAGAAGAGATTACAGAAGCTTGCCGACGAGGTTGGAACCGACTTGCATTACTACGCCTATCTTGACGGTGTTACGAGGAGGCTGAATGCCCCAGGAGCTGGTCGTTTAGTGAACCATGAGAATTTCGGAGAAATCTTGACTAATTTGGATGCTTGCATAGCATTCATGATACAACACGTTCGTTTACACATCTCCCCTCTACTCAAAGTACCTTTATTGACTTGGATCAGCCCGAATACCGAGATGCTGAGTCCTACCTTGCGAGATATCAATCCTTACTTACTAAAGCTCTTCATTTACTTGAGGTTGGCTTTACAGCCCACCTCGATCGAGTCTCCTCAGATATATCAAAGCAGATTGCGGCTACGCAGTCCGAATCTGCTAGGCATGCTCTTGCCTACGGTCGTTTTGAGGAAATGGTACTGGAAATGGATGGCTTGGTGACAAATGCTCAGCGCGTTATTACCAGCTGCTATGATCAGCTGGGAAACCCAATACTTGGGCAAAATTTTGATTACTATTCAAATACTGCTCTTAGCATCTTCTCGTCTTACTCGGATGTAAGGGACCGTGATCTTCGTCCCATGACTCAACACGACCTCGAGGTATTTAGGAAAGATGTCAAGGAGATTAATGCAGAAACTGCCTGTCGCAATTTCATCAAGCAATGCTATGAGAGATCATACGACGAGGCTAGTCTATTTGCAAAGATCTTCTCCATTGAGCCGCAATACAACGTGGACTCCCAGTCTGCCTACGTAGCTTTAAAGAGCCACCAAAAGGCGCTGGTTAGTGCTGCAAATATTGCCCCAATCGCGACGACATTACAGTCTGTTCTACCAACGAGCGAGCTTCAAACAATGTGTAACCTTCTTGGATGGATTACGAACGAATACCTTCTGTTAGAATACGATGAGGAGGAAACTCAATATTCTATCCACTGTCATGATCTTACCGCACGGCTGCTCATCGAACACCTCTGGCCCTTTACAGATACCGCTTTCGACACCGAAGTCACAAAATCAATATCGAAGGCCGCCATCTCACCCGATTCTCTCAAAATCACATCCGTTGTGAACGGTGTCGCATCGTCCAACGCCCATCCGATTACGAAACGTGCCCTTGAGCTTTTGGCCATGTATGATCAGGCCATGCCAAAGGAACGAAGTGTGAGTGAAACCCGGATATCTCATATGCTGTTGGAAGCTCATAGCTAATTTTATATTTAAAGTCGAGTTCCGTTGTGTTTCGAATTATCAACGAGACTATCCTTACTATGCAACGTGCTGAATCCCGACTGAAGTCTAATAGAGCAGCCAATCCCGATCCCGATCCTGATCTGTTCATGATTAAGAACCTACTGATTCTCAAGAATGGGCTTGTGTCGCTCGAGATTGGCGATGTTAGGTCTCAGCCAGCAGCAATGCAGCACTTCGGCCAGATATGGGATACTCTCAGCCCTCAAAATTGGATGGGGTTGTTCCGAGGCATCCTCGGCGGCTCACTATCACTTGGTCTATGGTCTTCAGCAGCTAGTCCCTCCCCTGCTGCGAACGGCAAGGGCATACCGCCTAGAAACCAAGCCCAGCAAGAACAAGATGCCAACGAAAAGTTGGATGAACTATTACGGCAAAGCATCTACGCTTTCACGCAACGGTGGGGGACATTAATTAATGCGGCGAGGGGTGCCAAACGTGGCACTAAGAACTCCGTAACAGCCGAGCAAGAGTTGGACGAGAAACTCTTGACTGCATTTGGAGGTCAGCCAGAGGTGGTGGCCAAGCTAAAGGAAGCAATACAGATGAACGCCCAGGCTCAGAAGGAGATGAAAGCCGAAAAGGGTGCGAGATAGGATGGTTAGATATCTCAGAATTGACCCAATCTGTGCTCGGCGTTGGATTTTACGCCATGATGAAAATTTACTGCTTTATGGCTGGTGATTTTTTTTAAATTTGACGTGAGATACCTTTGCCTGATACTCCCAATGCTAGTCAACCGCAGGTAATTATGAGTGTCCGAGAAAATGTTGCCTGATTTTTGATCTAGAATGCTGGATTAAATGGACAAGACGGCGACGATTTCACCTCATGGGTAATTTTATGGAGACACAGTCTAGTTCTCTACTCGATTACATTAAGGGGCTCTCCGCCTTGATCGGACTTCAGGATTCGGTCGATGCATCACTAGGTAGGCAGTTCATATGACAGGGCTGGAATGTATGATCAAAGAAATATCCGTAGATTAAAGCAGGGACATGAGGTCAAAGCCCTTTGACTTTTTACGGTATTTAGGCTCAAAGAAAATACAACAGACCTCCCAGAATCACCTCAATCAAATGATTCTCTGAGCTAACCCGCAGCCCCGAAGTGTGACTCTTGACCCCTAATTTTGATCGATTGAAAAGGAGATATCATGGTTTCGACACAGACAGTGCATGTCCCGCATCTGGACGCCACGGTCGGATTTGCCGTATCGAACAACAGGTTAGACCTCTCGAAGCCGACATGCGTGCTCGTAAATCCCTTCTGCGCGACCGTGGAGTACTACCGCGCCGAGATGAACAACGAGAAGCTAACGAGCGCGATGAATCTGCTGGCGATCGAGCCGCTCGGCCACGGCGCAACAACCTGCGCCTCCGAGCAGTTCACGTACTGGGACTCGGCGCTCGCCATCCTGCAGGCCATGCAGGCTCTAGGGGTGTCCAAGGCGTATGCGCTGGGCACCAGCCAGGGCGCTTGGATCGTGGCGAGGATGGCGCTGCTGGCTCCGAAGAGGGTGAGTGAAGATTGAGGATGACGGGATGGTTTGTGACCGGTCGAGGCTCACGATTAGTAGATATTGGGGGTTATTGCCCTCGGAACGTCGATGGATTGCGAGTCTGCTGATTCTCGTTTGAAAGGCTGCTGGTAAGCTTACACTTTGGTCGGAATGCTTCAAGAAAGGGGAACAATCTTGACTTGGGTCTTTGGTGAAATAGATGTGTTTGGTTGGGCTACTATTGGCACACAGATAGCTACCAGTCATACTGACTTGTATCTGACTGTAGGGATCCCGCCACATTCATTAGACCGTTCCTCGAGAAATGGAGCAGCTCCACGCCAACCCCAGATTTTATCGTGGGCGACGATTGGATCCAACCAGTGCTCGGGCTAGGTTTGGGGTCCGCGGCTACACCCGCCGTCACGGAATTCTGGACTGGGTCGCTCCAGCGCGTTTACTCGGGCGACCAGGGACGCCGAAACTTGAGAATGATCACTATCTGTTTGGCGGAGAGAGATGGACTGCTGCTTAGGCTGAAGGACATCGAGTGCCCAGTCCACTGGTACCAGGTGAATACCGTCTTCTTTTCGAGACTTTTCAAGCTAATATCATTTGCAGGGAACGGACGATCCAGTCTATGGCTCGAATGTCCCCCAGGAACATATCAAGCTGTTCACAGGTTCGAGCGATGCGAAGCTTCAGTTCCTCGACGGTGGCTGTCATTTCTTGGGTGTGTCGCATCCGAAGGAAATTGAGAAGGCAATCTTGGAGATGGTGCACTAAGATAGGGATGAGGGCTATAGCACGGTCATCTTAGGTACCTAATAGAGTGCCGCAAGGCCCAAGCCACGCCTCTTACTTTGGGCAGACTTTTCCTAGATCCACGTCGGATTTTCGCATCTTTGAGTATGCAAAGAACACCTCCATGGATGATTGGGTGACCCACGCTATCTCAATATAGCAGGTTCGGTCTAATTATGCCATGAATCCGAGATTATATGAATGGGCTCGTCTTTAGCGTACTCATAGTCTCATAATTTGGCGCTGCTGCATTCTTTATTACATCAGTCTCAACTTATCAATGTGCCTACAGGATTGAGTTCTA